TGGAGTGATGACAAATGCACCATTCATGCTAAATGTGGATTGTGACATGTATGCAAATAACCCACAAGTTGTTCTACATGCCATGTGTTATTTTCTTGGTGCTAAGGATGAGATAGACTGTGGTTTTGTTCAATTTCCACAATTCTTTTATGATGGATTGAAAGAAGATCCTTATGGAAATCAATTAAAAGTTTTACACGAGGTAAATTCAAATAATAAATTAAAAAAATATTTGTTAACTCGATTCTAAGACCAAACTTTCATTGATCATTATAGATTTTGTATGTATAATACATAAATATGTCTTTTAATTTGATTTCAATTGATATCTACGTCCACTTACTTTGATTGTGCATAAGTAGACACTTAAACTTGTATAAAATTGAACAAAGAGACACATTCGTCCTATATGACATTCTACGTAGCAATTTTATGTCCTACGTGGCGTCATATGTGTATGGTGTTACGTAGGACACCTGTGTCTACTTGTTCAATTTTATACAAGTTTAAGTATCCACTTGTACACATCAAAATTGAGGGAGACATAGATGTCAGATGAAGCTAAGTTAAAGGACATACTTATAAATTATGCCTTTTAATTATTTAATATTTAATATTTATCTTTTGCTTATTATAGTATTTTGGAAGAGGAGTTAGTGGTATTCAAGGGCCATTTTATCAAGGATCGGGATGTTTCCATAGACGAAAAGTTATATATGGCTCGTCACCATATGAAAAAATAACTGCAGGTATGAAAACTAACCTTTTTTTAATAAAAAAAATAATATTATTGGCTCCACTTTATTGGACACATTTATTTTTGGAGAGTCAAATAAAATTAAAAGATTATCGCGACATTTTGAAATAATTTAAATTATTAACTATTATGACTTATAAGATTTTGTTATTTAGTTTTTAAATATATGAATTTTCAAATGGTATATTTAAAAAAAAATGGAAAACTTACGCTTTATGTCTAGTAAGAAAAACGGTTTATGCCACATATCCTCATATAATATTGTTTAACATTATACCCGGTTTAACCTATAAGTAGTCTATATATTCTGTGGCGGAGTCAAAATTTTTATTAAGGGTGTCCAACAATAATGATTTGTGACTGTCATAATAAAACAAAAAAATATTGTGTTATTTTGGGTTCAAACCTGGAACTCTTTCACTCAAATGGACACCCATTACTACTGCGCCAAAGACATAATTTTTGTCGGGTGTCCAACTTTAAATATATATCTTTTAAATGTAGAATTTGGCATGTATATATAATGTAATTTTTCGACAAAGGGTGTCCAATTGGACACCCTTTGATTGGTTGTAGCTATGGCACTGTATATATCTTATAGTTTATGTTGATGATCTTATTGTTTTCGTGAGCTTATCTTTCATTTACAAATTTTATTTCTATCGTATTTTTTTTCATTTAGGCGCGTATTCATTCGTTTTTAGGGTGTATAAAACCACATAGCGATTCATGCATCTATCTTATTGTATTGACACAATTGAAAAATCATAATTTAACATTTTAGTAAGACATGTTAATTTCATGATGATAATTAGGAGAATTGAAGGATGAGTATATACAGAAAACTTATGGAATGTCAGAGAAGTTATCAACATCAATTGCTAAGACTCTCTTAGAAGGATCAAATATTATTGAGCAATTCAATTCTGATTGTCCCTCAAGTTCCATTGAGATAGCACATCAAGTTGGAAGCTGTGGATTTGAATTTGGCACTGCTTGGGGTCAAAAGGTAATTATTGATTCATTTTTATAAGTAATAGTTTAACTATTCATTTAACTAAAAAAATAATAATAAAGTATTTTGCAGTCCCAATAAATGGTATCTTTAGTATGGTATGATACAATTCTTACTTAATGAAATTTGAAGTTGAGTTAATGTTTAAATTCATTTCTTATCAGGTGATTTATAATAATGATTTTAAAGGAGTTGTCTTGAACTTTTGACCCTGCTTATTATCACAAGGGCAAAAATTCAAATTTTTAAAAATTGACTTTTGATTTGAAGGTTTTGCTCTTAGGACAAGTGGAGGTTAAAAGTTTGGACATATTTTTTTCACATTTGATGAGAAGATTGATTAAATAAGTTTGACTTTAAATTTTAAAAGCTAAATTATTAAGTTTTTTTAGTGGAAGTCCCAAAAACTGGTCTAAGCTAGTTTTTGAAAATCATATTTTTAGAATATAATTAAATTTCATGATAAATAAATATTTTAAATAAGAATTTCATTTTTTCTCGTAAAATCTATAGTCAAACGCTAATTCATCGTACTATTTATCAGTTGGGCTGGCTATATGGTACTGTAACAGAAGATGTCCTTACTGGACTCTTTATCCAATCAAGAGGCTGGAAATCCGCCTACTGTTTACCCGACCCGCCTGCCTTTCTTGGATGTGCACCTGCAGCTGGGCCTGCCTCAATGATCCAACAAAAAAGATGGGCTACTGGGCTTTTTGAAGTTCTCCTTAACAGTAAAAGCCCAATTATTGGAACCCTTTTTGGGAAGCTTCAATTGAGACAATGCATGGCTTATTTGCAGATCCAATTATGGGCCCTGAGATCCATTTTTGAAGTTTGTTATGCTATTCTGCCTGCATATTGCCTCATCACCAATTCCCACTTTTTACCCCAGGTAAGAATATTTAAAATGGGTGGTCTTGAACATTTAATCCCCTATGTCTTCTATATACAAACATTCTAGGTCAATATTGAAGTTTTCCCTATCAAAAGTCAAAACTTATTAAGATTGAAGTTTTTCCTATAAGACAAGCACTACATAAAAAATGATTATTAGCGGCAATTAATTCTTAATTGCCGCTAAATATGTATTTTTAGCGACAATTAACACTCTTCGTATATGTCCCTAATGCCTTTAGTGACATTGGTTCTAATGGCACTTAACTAATGCCGGTAAAGACTTTAACACTCTTTATTAATGTCAATATTTATTGCCGCTAAAAGTTGTTTTTGTTGTAGTGAAGTAAGTTCAAACATTTAAGACCACACACCTTCAACACTTATATATTTGGTCAATCGCCCTATATCTTTTCAGGAAATTTTTCACTACACAACTTTTCAACGAAACTCACAATAGAAAATCGAGATTTCTATACTGTATAACCACCACCAAATTAACCAATAAATGTATATATTGTTTATATTAACATAAATATTATACATATTTAACATTATAGTGTACAACTAATATATAATTACTGTATAAAAAAAGTGTACATGATTATACACATGTTATATATTGAGTATATACCAACAATGACTACAAAATTTTGTTACATGTATATATGCAGGCAAATGAACCAAGTATAGTTATACCAGCATTAATCTTTATTATCTACAATCTATATGGTTTATCAGAGTATATTAGAGCAAATGAACCAATAATAGCATGGATGAACAATCAAAGAATATGGAGGGTTAATGCTATGAGTGCATGGCTATTTGGTATTCTAAGTGCTACAACTAAATTACTTGGATTTTCTGAGACTGCATTTGAAGTTACAAAAAAGGACCAAAATGACACAAATTCTGATATTGGAAGGTTCACATTTGATGATTCTCCAATTTTTGTGCCTGGAACTGCAATTCTCTTATTGAATCTTAGTGCCTTGTTTATTGGAGTGTTGGATTTTAAGAAAGGGAATAATATTGAATGGGGATTAGGAGAAGTTATATGCATTATGTGGATTGTTTTTGTATTTTGGGCATTTTTGAAGGGCTTTTTTGCTAAAGGAAAGTATGGGATACCAACATCAAGTATTCTCAAGGCAGGGGCATTGGCATTGTTGTTAGTCCATCTTTTCAAATTTAAACAATAAATTGTAAGAATATAATTTTAGATGTTACTTTTGAATGTTTGGAAGAATATCTTGTAATTGAATTTAAGTGTAAGTGTAATTATATAATATAACTCTTTGTTTAGTCAAATATTTATTTGGCTATATATCATGAAATTGAGGATAGCAATTAGAATCTCTAATTTTCCGAAAATTAATCATTTGTAACAGTCATTTGATAAAATTACAATATTATATTATTTTACTCTATTACATACTGTTGTTTATCTGTATTACTAAGGACTCGAATTATAGCTTTGCAAAACTTTGTAAGATACAACGAAGTTTAAAGAATATTAGCTTCAGAATCAAAAAGTTAAAACCAATAAAGAAAGTATAGTCTGCAACAAAATAAAAACAATATTGAGAAGAAAAAAATCGAGGCCACTGAATGCACAATGTGTCGTTAAGGAAATTATTCCCCTCAAGTTCTCGAGGTTAATGAAATATATTCTATCAGGATAGAAAGATCTTACCACCGGTCTATTGGTACCTAAAACCACGGGTGTCAGCGAACCACTCAAAGGCAGTAAAGTACACTAGAATTCGTCTATGCAGAATAAGAGAAGTTTAGAAAATCCGTTGCTGAAAATTGAGAGGAAACTCTTCTATTTATAGACAACAAAGGATAATATGAACATGTGCTTATTGTGCTTTATAGGAAAGATCACAACTTTTCGAAAAAGTCGCAACCTTAATGAATAGTCACAACCTTTCGAAAAAGTTACAACTCTTAAAAAAAATCACAACCCATTATTTTCCATTCATACCTTTTTAAAACCCAATACATACAAAACTTAAATTTCTGCATAAAATAATATCCATTTTGGTCAAAAATAAAAGGAGTGTCATTTAATTTAGAAGGGGTTGAATAGTAAATACTACTGTAAGACATAACTTTTTCCCCCTAATTGTAAGAATCTACATAAGCCAAAAAATTAAATATAATTATAAATTTGTCCATCTCCTACTTAGTTTTCTTTCAAAGAATTGAGCAAATAACTCTTTTTTCTTTCACCTTTAAAAGAGAGTCAAAACATTTCTCTCTTTATTGTCTTCTTTCTCATTTGAAAAAAAATCAAAAGGAAAAAATTTTCCCTTACGAATTTTTATGGAGAATCTACCAGAGTCACCATTTTCGGATTCTGCATTGATATCATCGCTATGCAACATTTCTTCTTCTCATGCGGATATACAACAAAATTCTCATGACTTAGATGGTCTCACTCCAAATCAATTGGTGTTGTTACTCCATGATAGTAATCTTCGTGGAGAAGTCATGTATCAACTCATCAAGGTATATGAAATGTTTCAAATGCTTTTTTTTTATATACATTTTTATTTATTCATTTGTATACATTTGATGTCCGTGTTAGTTTTTCTATATATGTGCTTGTTATGCATTTTTGAGATATGAAGGCAAAGGAATTTATAGATCTGTGATTGTTTTTATATGCTATTTTTAAAAGACCATTAAATTTTACATTGGATGAATTTTTGCTATTCGTTTGTAGAAATCACTCATATGATTATTTTTCTCATGTTATATATTATTAGATATATCATATGTACCAAAATGGGCATATACAAGCCCTAATTAAGTGGTTCGCAAGCTAGCCTAAGGGTAAGCATTTCAATTTTTCTAAAAAGAGAAATTTATTTAATTTTGTCAATAATAAAAATTAGGAATGTCATTTCTATAACTAGACAGATTATTAATGCAATTCTTGAGTAACATGAATACAATCAACTAAATTTTTCAACAAAAAAAATAATACTGTTATTGTTGTAGGATGATGAGTACAAGTACTTTTGTGAATTTTAAGATATACAAGTAAAATTATAAATTTATTTATCAATATGAGGGAAATTCCCATTTGATTGCAAAAATTAACTTTATTTATCAAATGGAATAGGACTTCAATTTTCTCAACTTTAGGCTTCAATAACTTTATTAAAAAACTTCATTGACAATCATTAAAAAGTTTTGAAGCTTTGAAATCAAAGTGATTTTTCGCGAAATTGTTATTTATTCAGGTTGAGTTGTTCCCGCAAACTATTGATCCTTTGGAGTTTGTATCAAAATTTTAATTAGAGAGTTGGTTTTCATTGAAATTTCATATTGAAACTCGATGAGGAAGAAATAAATAAATTGTATACAATGAAATACACATGACATACATAATAAAATCAACAACAAATAAAATACATACAACAACATAATTGTATATAAGTTATGTTGTATGTTTTAATAAAATTTGTACACAACAAAATTTGTACGCAAGTTGTACGTAAGTTAACCAAATTCTATACAATAAAAAATGTATGTAAATCATATGTTTTGACCGAATTTGTATGAATTTTGTTAAAAAGATGCTCAATACTCTTTGAAACCCCTAAAATCTCACTAAGCCTGATAAAGACTATCCATCCAATTTCTATACCTATAGAAGAAAAAAAAAACCCTTTTTTTGTTTGGCGTTATAGGTTAGTCTAATCCACCAGGTTAGTGGACTAGCTGAATTGAAGTAAAAACATCCAACTAGTGAGTTGTTTTAGACTGATTTAAGGACTAATCGAGATTGGGGTACATCGGCCCCAAGGATCCCCTCAACACAAAACCAAGCACCCAGTAAATATAAATTATCTAACCTTAAATCAGCTATCATAAAGCTCAAAGAAAAGAACATTTTGATTTTTTTTTCCATATAACTTAAATAATTAAGTGAAAATTAAATCACTTCTCTGGCCAAGCTACCTTGATCAAAAGTGTTTTTTTTTAATTGAAGAAAGAGCTTATTCTAGAGAATTGACGTGTTTGGTCAAGCTGTTAGGTAAAAAGTAAATATTATTGAGTAGAATCAAACTATTTTTTGAAAGCTAAAAAAAACTTCATAACCTTAGTAAAACACAAATTGCTTATAGTGCTTGTAATTGTTAGATTCTGACTTGGTGACTTTTGTTATATATTTCAGAAGCGAGATACATGCGAAGATCTAGCTCCATTGCTGTGGAACACCTTCAATGTAGTTTACATGCTTTTGCTGGTATACCTCTTTTAATTTTCGCAGATTTATATATTCTGTTGTATAATCTTAAATTGGATTTTCTTTAGAGTTTATGCTAGAATTTTTTGACCTCTAGACTAAATGTTTAAAATGTTACAGAGAGAAAATGTTTGATACCATACATGTTAAATTATGTGATCATCTAATTTAAAAGGTTAGATGATTAGAGAAAATACATTCATAGTTACTTAATTATATCTTCAACATATTTTGAAAAGAACGCGTTTTTTTTCTCTCAAAAGTCCACGATGGTGGCTTGTGGGGGTTTAGGCATTGTCCCCAACTTGTAAATTAAAGAAGAAAACAAGTATATGGAGGAGGACATAGACCATATACTCCTGAACAAGAAAAAAGATGAGGTGACAAAAATATCAGCTTAAAGAGCATGACATTTTTCCTAGGATAATTACCACATATACACGTGGATGTTATGTACAGAGACAATATCAATATATAACTATTCCTTCGTTTAAACCTGAAGTTAGGAATTCCTTGTTGATCCAAACTCAACAAAGCCCACATAGAAGCAGGTAGCAAACTAACATTTTCTATTATGAGATTCTAATTAGTAGATTCTCCTACTAGGGGTGACAATTGGATGGGTTGGGTTTAATTTGGATGTGTCCTGATGGGTTAAGACAACAATGGGGTCAAGACCCAATCCAATCCAAATTTGCTTGAGTGAAAGGATTGGGTCAAAATGAGTTAGGTCATGAGTTATATAACGGGTCAAGACTCAAACCAACCCAATTTTACTAAGTTTAATTATTTTATTTGTTTTTTTTTAACTATTTAGTACCTAATAAAATCATCTTTTTTTTTAATTATGCCTATATATAACATATCAAATTGAAAAAAATTAAAAAAATATTTTGACAAGATTGCTCATGAGCCAATTCAGGTTACATATCAACCCAATTTTTAATGGGTTGAGCTAATGAATAGGCAGGTCAATAATTCCCCCAAACTTAAACGGGTTGGGCGAGTTGAACGGGTGGGTTTTCATTTTGCCACCCCTATGAGCTACCATATTGCCCTCTCTCTGTAAGTATGCACAATTTTTTTTATTTTTAAAAAAAAGGGGGGAGGGGGGGTGGGGGTGGGGGGGGGGGAGAGTTAGCCTTGATGTAGATTGTTTAGTTTATCCTCGTTGTTCTCTATCAGAGGTTAGGTCCACAATCACATCGATGAGACCCTTTATCATTGAAAGATGAGGGGTGTGATTTGTGAATAACAGGTGTTGTGGTTGAGAATGGGTTGCTGTCAAGTTTCCGTTGGGTGCAGCAGGTGGACTGGGGATAAGGGTTCCCCTGTTTACATAGTTACCGTTGGTGTGTAGAGTTATATAGAGAAGTGAGAGCAAAGTTTTTTTAGAGAGAGAAGTTCCTAGCAGAAAAGTTTCTGGATGAAATAATGTGCAAGAAGTTGTGAATGTGTAATAATGTTTGTCTTATGAATTTCAGGAGGTCATATCAGTGTATTGGAAGTTGTCACCCCCAACGCTATCTATGAAGGAGTCAACTCGAGTGTGTAATGCTCTTGCTTTGTTTCAGGTCAGTAATATCTCATTAAACAGTGTACTTTCCCTTGTTGGTTTACAAGGTGCAAAACAGTTATTTTGGAAACTATTTCAAGCAAATGCTACGTTGAGAAAGGGCAGTTGTATAGAACCTTTTAACGAAATAGTGCTTTTTCAATTCTCTCAAATTGAAATCTTTATTAAGCCGATATTTCATGTTATGTTATATTTATATGTTCTCTATAACAGTCATTCTCTATAATAACATTTCACTATAACAATCATGTTTCCAGCATGAACCAATATTAAATACCTAGAACTGCATATTAACTTCAGTAAGTGGATCAGTATATGTGAGCTATTTTCTTAGAAAGGGTAAAAGAGTTGATTTCGATATCAATATCAACGTAATGCCATACAACTAAAAGAGGAAATTATTTATGAGTAATACCACTGATAAGTGTATGAACAACATATAATTCTCTAAGACTAACATACTCGGTGAACATGATTTTTCAATTGTAATTAGTTTTTCAACAAGCTTCTGTTGAGATGAGGCCGTCATGAAATGAAGTTTTGATATTGTGTTATTACTTATTTCTTGACACCACTTTTCCGCCACTTTGTTATATGTATCCACCTTATTCCTTTATGGATATATTCTACAGGTTATGGCCAAAAATCCAGAAACAAGAAAGGAGCTTATAGAAGGTAAGTCAGGTCATGAAATGATAAAATTGAAATGACTAGTAAGAGTGAATCAAGTTTTTGTACGAATATGGAAAGATTCAGGTGACTAGGTTTTAAAGTGAGTGGAAGAACAAATTCTTTCCACTTCAGTCCTCTTTTTCATGTCTTCAGTCTTTCAAAAAGATAAATTCGATTTCATTATCATTTTTGCGGTGAGAATGCAGATCATGCGCCTGCAAGTTCTTTTCGATGGAAATATGTCCTTTTAATGCTCTAGTTTACCTCAAACTCTAACTTTGTGCCTATAAGAAATGTTTTTACTGTTGTGTGAGAAACAGTTAACTCTTCCAGTAATTTCATTTTGCAGCTAAAATACCATGTTATTTCTACCCATTTCTCAAGCCTAGTGGAGACGACAAGCCTTTGGAGTATTTGAGGCTCACCAGCTTGGGTGTTCTCGGTGCCCTAGCAAAGGTATCCGCCCATTTGAACAAATATACACACGCTCTCTTCACTGTTGTCACTAAATTCATTTCATGGATTTAGTTTTTCCAGTTTTCTTCAAGATTGAATGTGTTCAGTGATTATACTTTGTTGTTTACATATGCCACCGAATCTCATAAAGTGGGGTTTGGATAAAGTGGGGTTTGGGGAAGGTAGAGTAAATACATACCATACCTCTACCTCAGAGGTGAGGTAGAGAGGTTGTTTCCGCTAGACCTTAGGCTAAAGACAAAAACAGTCTAGAAACGTGATGGAAATACAAGAGACAATAGGTAGTAACAATAATGACAAATAGTAGCAGAACGGTACTAAAACAAAATAATACTATAATCAAAATACATGAAACCATAGATAGCAAAAGAAACCGAAGAACATGAAATTACAAGAGTAGTACTATGACTACCAGTAGTATGGACGCACTCCTACCTACTAACCTTCTACCCTATTTTGTATCTTTCACACCTTCCTATCTGAGGCCATGTCCTCGATAACCTGCAACTGTGTCGTGTCCCGTCTAATGACAAATAGTAGCAGAACAGTACTAAAACAAAATAATACTATAATCAAACTACATGAAACCATAAATAGCAAAAGAAACTGAAGAACATGCAATTTAACCACTGATCATACATTTGAAGAATTATTCTAATTTTTGGAAGTGCCTACTTCATGATTCTGATATTTTGTTTGCTGGTGCAGTTTGATGATCCATATGGACCAAAGGTTCTTCATTTTTTCCTGGAAACGGAAGTGGTTCCTTCGTGCCTGGAGTGCATTGATCTATGCGATGAACTGTCACGGAAGGTTAGCCTGCTATGTAATGATTTTAGGCTTAGAAGTTATGAGTTTCTTTTATCTACGTTCTTCAGAGTGGTTCTAAGGTAACCACAAAATGATGTATTTTAGTTTTATTGTTATTCATCATAAGAATGTATCTGTATTACCTGAATAAACATGTATTTTTCGAATGAAAAATTGGAATATGGGAATAAAGTTCAAAAGTTTATGGGAGTAATCCAAATTTTAATAAGAGACAATCAAAATATAAAGAGTAAACATAGGAATAAGGCAACGATATTAAATATCTACTGTATATACATACAACAGTGTAATTATCTGGTGAATGGTGTTTGATGACATTCCTTCTGCTCCCCTGACTCTGCCCTGCATGCATCTAAGCCACATGGTATACCTAGTGCTAAAACATCTCTTCTAGCACGTGTGATATGTTTGTCACTCCTGATTTTCCATTCTGTTTTATAATAGTGTTTCTGAATGACTTTTCTGGTTTATGGTGATATGTTGTTTCTCGCATCTTATATGAAATGAATGTTGTACATCCGCACAGGTTGCAACTCTCATAGTTATGAAAATTCTGATGCAAGAGAAGGGAATGTCCTATTGTAGTGCTACGCCTGAACGCTTCTACTCGATAGTACAGGTCTTGTACCGAGTGGTGCAGAAACTTACTGAAAAACCTTGTTTGCTGCATCTAATGTATGTGATACAATGTTTTCTTAGTCTTTCAGAAGTATTCAAGTTCATCGGGTAAACATTCTCGTCCTTACTGCTCAAGTTTTATGTATAATTGTGATTTTCTTTATAAGTATCATCTATTTCTCTCTTGGGTTTATTGTTTGATCAACCTTCACAACGCAGGCCATCTGAAGCATTCATACGCCAAGTTCCTCCTCAGCTATTTGACAACACCTTTAAGGACATTCTTCGTGTGAGTTCATCTGCTCTTCTTAGAAGACCTTAAATCTGCATCGTCGATATACTGTCACAACTTCATGTGTATACTTGTAAAACTTTTGTATTTTGTAGGATGACCACGAAACGGCATGGATGCTGCAGGTGCTGCATTTCAATGTTTATGGACCTCTATTTTCCCCTGAATGAAGACAGTATCAACTATGAAGAATATTGCAATGCAGAACACAACAATTTCAAAGATTAAGGGAAAGAAGTGAACTTGTTTTGTAGGAAAAAACAATAAACAATGACCTGAGTAGCTTTTAAGTTAACTTTTCAACTGTTGAAACTGATACTTTTGCTCTGTTGTGTGCTGAATTGTGCCTTTATGTTCAGCTGGAATTAAGTTATATGTGTTTTTTTTTTTAGTATACCATTTGGTGTTTGAGTGAATTGCTTTTTTGTTTTCTTTTTTTTATATATTTATATTTGACAGGTAAAGGGGTTTTGGTTTTATTTTGTTAGAGTGGATTAAAGTCCCACGGTGGTTAGGGAATGGGTGGGTAATTTGCTATATAGACTTGGACCGTCCTTCCCTTGTAAGGTAACTTTTGGGGTTGAATTGAGAGAATAATCTCCCCTACATAAAACTCTATAAGAACCGGATTGTTGATGTTATTGTGTGGTGGCATAGTTTGTAAAAAATCAAAACATCTCTTCCAAGACAGGATTAACTAAATAGGGAAGAGATTTTTTCCAACAAGAAACCTTTTCACCAAGAAAGATCTAATTATGGTAGATAATCACGGCAAACTTTAACAAATCTCCCATTTGCCTGATTTTTTTTATCAAAATAATCTTGATCATCTTTTTTCACACAATTTTCATATATCAAATATGTTACTTACTTACCATGGTTAAAAGTTGACCTAAGCTAAAAATGGAGTCGTGTGTGTTAAAAATAAACACTGGTTAATAATATTGAAGTTGTATATTAAAAGTTAGGATTAAAAGGGAAGCTCATGTGTTTTTTTTTTTAAAATTCAAAAGTGGGTTTTATTAATAAAAAAAATAGAAAGTATATGGTCAAGACCCAAAAGGCCCAAACCTGAGAAATGAAACAACAAAATTAAATAACAAAGCAGTGAAACCCATTTGGAAATTGAATCCCCAAAAAGGTCAACTGACTTTCCTCAAATCTCTAGATGAAACTTCATCTTCTCCGATGGAAAGCTGGCCAATTGACCGCCCTCACCGCATCCACTAGACCAGCTGAAATCTTCAACGCCTCCAATTTCGGAGTGAAATTACTTATACGTCAAAAGCTCTCACTGAGGCCATGATTCAACACCTAGGAAGACTTCTTCAACTTGATGAGTGAAAATATTATCTGAGATAGAGCTGCAAGATGAAGACGACCTCACACAAATCACTGTATGGAAATATTCGTTTAGACGTCCATTTCAGCTCATCATCAATTTTAGAGCATCTTCCTCCGTATCTCACTGCACTAAAACCGGGATTCCCTTTGCTACACCCATCAGTATTACATTTAAAAATCCTCCCCGAGACGGTAGTTTCCAAGTCACCACCTTGCAACAATTTAAAGGAGTATACTCTTCCAAATGTTTAACAAGTAGTGGCCAAGTATTAGTTATTTCCTTCAGCCATGAATATCTTACCTTAACCAACAAGTGAATCATTCTATTCACACCTAGTATTAAAGCATGTTTAGACTTGTATTCCAGCAACTTCTACAAACAGTTTCCAGACACTTCTGAGTGGTGCGGGGAGCCAGAGGGCAAACTTCAGAACTGGGGATGGGGCGCACTGGCTAGCGCGGCGCCCCAGAGCCCAAACTACAGAGCACAAAGTAGGGAGCTATGGCTGGCGCGGCTCCCCAGACCCCTCCCCAGAAAATCCCCAAACTTTCTTGCTCATTTTTCAACTCTAAACCCTCTAGATTCGAATGGTTCCTTCCCCACATGCTTAGATTTGAATGCATAACCAAAATATACAAGAATCAACTCAAAAACAACCTTAAATCTTGTTAAATCACATCAAGAACTCCTCCAAAAACTCCACAATCAAGATTCAAACGAAACTTCAACAAAATTCATCAAGAACTCATAAGCTTTTCTTTCAAGAACACAATACGCCGAATTTAATCATGTTTGGCGCGTGGGTGAACTAACCCAACGCTATGTGATCTCACATATCTCGTAGGGATCAACCCTTGGCGAAATCAACGAGCTTAACTTCAAGAACGCGACGAGTCCTTGCTTCTTCTCCTCCTTTCTCCTCTTCTTTTCTCTTATCTCAAAACCCTAACTTGTTTTCAATAGCGTAAACTGAATCCTATCCGTTGAGACCCCAACTTAATTACCAAAAATGAATTTAATAAATTGTGTAGTGAAAAGACCATAATACCCTTCTAAAATCCGGTTATGACTTTCCTTAACTAGACAACCCAACTTTGAATGGCCATATCTCCCTCATACGAACTCAGAATTGAGCAAACTCAGCAGTGTTATTGGAAAGATAATTCAAAGATCTTTCCTACGGTATCTAGTAGCATACCTAACTCATCATAAGATAGGAGTTATGGTCGTTTTTAGTTGATCCAAAACTCAAGCTTAACATCACTTGAACAAATTTCTAGATTTTTCTTTCTTTCAAAAAATGAATCTTTCTAATTCTAACTCTTTCACTTAGCGAGGTGTTACAATATCTCCCCCTTGGGAACATTCGTCCTCGAATGAGATCACTCTAAGTAGACTAAGGGTGTAACATCTAACATTCAACTCAAACACCCAACAAACAAATTTAACACATTAAACATATCAATTAAAGAGTACTAAGAAAAGAATTAGTACCTTGGTCTGGAATTTCTCTGGGCTCAAAGAGGTGTGGATGCCTCTTCTTCATATCCTCATCAGCTTCCCAAGTATCTTTCTCAACAAACTGATTTCTCCAAAGAACTTTGGCCGATGCTACTTCCTTGGTCTTCAACCTGCGAACCTGACGGTCTAGAATCTGAACAGTGATCTCCTCATAAGACAAGTTATCCTTGATACCAATATCTTCATTTTGTATGATAAGTGAAGGATCTCCCATGCACTTCTTCAATATGGAAATGTGAAATACCGGATGGACCGCTGCTAACTCTTGTGGTAGCTCCAATTCATAAGCTACATTACGAATCCTTTTGGATATTCTGTAAGGTCTAATATACCGGGGACAAAGCTTCCCCTTCTTACCAAATCTCATAACACCCTTCATGGGTGAAACTTTCAAGTATACCCAATCATCTACCTCAAACTCTAACTCCCTTTTCCTAACATTAGTGTAAGATTTCTGATGACTCTGCGCTGTTTTCAACCTCTCTTAAATAACTTTCACTTTCTCCATAGCTTGATGAACTAAGTCTGGTCCTATCAACCCAACTTCACCAACCTCAAACCATTCAATTGGAGATCTGCATCTTCTCCCATAAAGAGCTTCATATTGAGCCATCTGGATGCTAGAGTGGTAACTATTGTTATAGGCAAACTCAATGAGAGGTAGGTGATCATCCCAGTTACCTTTGGAATCAAGCACACAGGCCCTCAACATATCTTCTAGTGTATGAATAGTGCGCTCTGCTTGACCATCTGTCTGAGGATGAAAACCAATACTCAAGTTCACCTTCGAACCCAAACCTTTCTGGAAAGACTTCCAAAACTGTGCAGTAAATTGGGCACCTCTATCTGAAATAATTAAAACTGGAACTCCATGAAGTCTAACCACCTCTTGAAGATACAACTTGGCATAATTCTCTACTGAATGGGTAGTCTTTACCGGCAAAAAGTGGGCTGATTTTGTCATTCTATCAACAATCACCCAAATAGAATCATGTTTCCTGCAAGACCGAGGCAACCCAGTAATGAAGTCCATATTGATCAACTCTCACTTCCATTCCGGAATCTCTATATTCTGAGCCATACCACCGTGCCTTTGATGCTCTACCTTAACTTGTTGCCAATTCGGATACTTAGCAACAAACTCTGCGATACCTTTCTTCATACTATTCCACCAATAAACTTCTCTCAAGTCACGATACATCTTTGTGAAACCTGGATGAATGGAATATCTGGAGCTATGAGCTTTCTCCATGATCCTCTCTTAGAGTTCATCCACCTTTGGTACACACAACCTACCTTGATACCTCAAAATGCCATCTCCTCCTTGTTCAAAAGCCATTACTTTTTGCTTATGAACACTTGCCTTCAATTCAAGAAAAATAAGGTCTTGGTCTTGTTTCTCTTTAACTTCAGACACTAATGATGATTCATCTCTATTCATCACAACTACTCCTCCTTCAGTGGAATCTATTAGGCGAACTCTTAATCGTGCAAGTCTATGTACATCTTTAGCTAATTCTCTCTTTTCTTCCTCCACATGGGCGGTACTACCCATAAATATCCTGCTCATTGCATCAGCAAAAATGTTAGCCTTACCTGGGTGATAAAGAATACTTATGTCATAATCCTTGAGTAACTCTAACCACCTCCTCTGTCTGATATTATGCTCTTTTTGACTAAACACATACCGAAGACTCTTGTGATTGGCGAACACATCCATATGAACACTACGACAACTAATTCTAGGTCATGGGTTGGCTAATTCTTCTCGTGAACTTTTAGCTGTCTGGAGGCATACGCTATAACTTTATCATTCTGCATTAACAAACAACCCAAACCAACTCTAGAAGTATCACAATACACAACAAAACCTTGAGTACCTTCTGGTAAGGTCAATACTGGGGCAGTAGTCAACCTCTTTTTCAATTCCTGAAAGCTTTTCTCACAAACTTCAGACCATTGAAACTTCACTATTTTCTAAGTCAACATGGTCAAAGGGGACGAAAT